TTGAATTTTCAGTTAGGTGGAGGACACAGGAGTATTCACTGTACTGTGTTTTAAGTTTTTCTGTGTGTTTAAACCATTTCAGGACAGCAAACTAAGTAGGAAAAGAATACATCGCAAGCCCTTCAGCATGCATCAGCTCTCTCCTGGACTAGCCAGGCCTTTCTGGCCTTACCTCCCAGCCTTGCTCTTGTACACACTATCCCACCTGATAGCACCCCTATGGTAAATGAGCATTTGACGTATGCTAGGCTCTTCTACATTTTCCATGTATTAATTCACTTCTTCAGAATAAAACAAACCTTTGGAGTATATTTTATAAATGAAAGAAATAAGATCAGAGAAGTGCCGGCCAAAGGGCTCAGCGGATTAAAGTGCCAGCAAGTAGGTGCAGGGGCCAGGGGTCCGATCCCTGGGCTGCCATGCTGGCCCCACCCCCAGGGTGCACTGAGACAGCAATTGAGACTGGACGTGGTGGTGCGCGCGCCTGTAATCCCAACTCTTGGGAGGCTATAAACAGGTGGATCGCTATGATGTAGTAGTGAGACCCTGAACACCCGGTAGACCCTTCCCTAAAACAAAATACAAAAATAAGTAAATTAGAAAAAAAAATCAGAGAAAATAGTGTACTAATACACAGCTCATAAATAATGTATCTGGAATATTTTGCTATTTTTAATTTCACAAATACACTTTACTCTTCAGATATAGTTTGTTTGATTTTTTAAAAAAATCCATTTATTTGATACAGGGGCTCGCTACACAGTTCAGACTTATATTCATCCTCCTGTCTCAGCCTCCCCAGTCCTGGGATTATAGGTGTGTGCCACCAGGCCCATTTTGGGGGTCAGCTATGTTTGCTAAATCAATGATTTTTTAAATTTGTTTAGCTTTTGCTGTGAGCTTTATGTTATCCTCAGTTCCTGCTGATCCAGGCTCAATTTGAATAAGAGGAAACCATTATTATTATTTGTAAACAAGGAAGAAATTTACATGGCATACAATCCAGACTGCACAAAAGATTTTATAACTTTTTTTATAACTTTTTTAGTGTTATTAATTCTATAATGTATCTTTTGCTCTCAAATGTACTTTTTTTTTTCCAAATGTATTTGGTACCAGGGTCTCACTATGCAGCTCAGACTCATAGTTATTCTCCTGTTTTCAGCTCCCCAGCGCTGGGATTACAGGTGTGTGCCACCATACTAGGTCTCAGTGGCCAGCTCAGTGCACCCGTGGGCAGGGCCAGCATGGCATGTGGTGCCAGGGATCGAACCCCTGTCCCTGTGGTTGCCTAAGCAGTCACTTAGTCTACTGAGCTATCTCGCTGGCCCTTCAAAAATACTTTATACAGGTTTGCTTACTTATTTTGTGGTACTCAGGCTTGTGCTAAAGCCTTTGCACTGAGTTACATCCCAAGATTTGTTTTGTATTTTGATAACTTTTCTATTTGGTAACAGAAATCGAACTCAGGACCTTTCATTTGCCAGGCAGGTACTTGTACCTGAGCTATATTCTCAACCCTCATTTTTTATTTTGAGATAGATTCTAAATTGCTAAGCTGCCTAAGCTGGGCTCAAATTTGGAGTCTTTCTACCTCAGGCTCCCAAAATGCTGGGGTAAAAGTGTGCACTACCACACCTGGTTCAATATTTTTATTTAATTGATAGACTCACAACTAATTGAAAGCTCCAAATGATAGATAATTGCCCTTACTGATATATAAGCCATAAAAGTCATCTTTCATTTTATTTTTACTAGTTTCAATTAAATTGATCTTTCATCATAAAAGCAATACATATTCTAGGGAAAAATATAAACAGAATTGGCAAACCATAGCCCATTAGCCAAGTCTGACTTGCTCTGTGTATAGCACGCGCACACACACACAGACACGCGTGTGTGTGTGTGTGTGTGTGTGTGTGTGTGTTTTCAGGGCTTGAACCCAGGGCCTTTGTGCTGAGCTACATTTCCTGCTCTTTTCAGTTTTTCTTTTGCAACAATGTCTCACCAAATTGCCAAGTTGCTCAGGCTGGGCTTGAAGTCCTCCTGCCTTAGCTTCTCAGAGTGCTAGGTTTACAAGCATGTGCTACGACGTTTGATTTTACCACTGGTTTTTAAATAAAACATTAGTGATATAGAGCCATGGTCACAGCACACATACTGTGTGTGGCTGCTTCAGCGTCTCCACAGCAGAGCTGATGAGACAGATGTGATGGCCACAGAGCCTGAAACAGTCACTCTTTGATCCTTTACAATGAAAGTTTATTAGCCCCAGAAGTAATGTGTCAAAATATAAAATCACTCTCTCAGAACCATTCCTCCAATCCCACTTCCTAGAGGTAAGTACTGATAAGAGTTCTTATGTGTCTTTCTAAATGCAAGCAAATAGAAGTTCTTTTTTTTTTTTTTTTTTTTTTTTGCAAATGTCTGTTTATTTTCTTGAACTCAGCATATTCTCTTGATAATTTTCCACACCTTTTAAAATAACGAAAGTAGGGGCCAGGGAGATGGCTCAGTGGAATAAGCACTTCCCTGGCAAGCGCAAGGGCCTGAGTTCAATCCCTGGTTCCAAAAAAAAAAGAAAAAGAAAAAGAAAATAACAAAAGCACTCTGTAGTACCATAAATGTGGTTTGATTGTCATTAAACAAAGCATTTTCTGTTTTATAAGCTCTGTTAGTTTCAACAGATTCTATGGCAGGATTCTAAGATAACTGTGACCCTTGTAATATTGAGGAAAAGTGATAATTTAAAGAGCTATTTCTGGGGCCAGCCAGATAGCTCAGCAGACTAAAGTGCCTGCTTAGGCAGAGCACAGCGGCTGGGGTTCAATCCCCAGTGTGCCGTGCCAGCCTCCCCCACCCGGAGTGCGCTGAGATGACCATTGAGACTGAGCATGGTGGGGTGCGCCTGTAATCCCAGCACTTGGGAGGCTGAAAACAGGAGACTCACAGGAGAATCACTACAAGTCCAATCTGTGTAGTGAGGCCTTGTAGACCCTGAAGACCCTGTACCAAATACATAAAAATAAATAAATAAATGTTTTTGGAGCTGGGTATGGTGGTACATGTCTGTCATCCTATCACTCAGGAGGCTGAGGTAGGAGGATTGCTGAGTTTGAGGACAGCCTGGGCTACAGAGTGAGCTCAAAGCCAAGCTGAACTGCATGTTCAAAAATAAAAAACCCTGTCTCAAACAAAAAAATTTATTTTTGGAATGGAGGAAGTAAGAAATAGCTAAATACAAACAATGCATCTCTGATTTAATAGCTCTTGTTTATAGAACTGTTAGAAACAGCCACCAAACTAGTCTCCTGTGTCCGGTCTAGTTTCTTCTTCACTTTGTCTCACTATTAACAGTTTTTTGGGTTTTTTTTAAAGGTCTTGTGTCATGACACTGTGCTTATGCAAGACTTTAACTTTGGGTGAGCCTGGGTGAAAGATGCATGGGCGTCTTTGCAGCTTTTCATGCGTCTGTAGCAATTCTCAAATAAAGAATTTTAGGGGTCTGGGAGGGTAGCTCAGTTGTCTAAAGCGCCTGCTTGGGCAAACTCAGTCAGGCACAGGGGACCACAGTTCGATCCCCAGTACCACATGCCCATCAGACCTGCCCTTAAGGAGGCTTGAGTTAGGAAAAAAAAAAAAATCCTTGTGAGCTGGCCAGATAGCTCAGCAGACTAAAGTGCCTGCTTAGGCAGAGTGCAGCAGCTGGGGTTCGATCCCCAGCATGCCATGCTGGCCCTGCCCCCAGGGCGCACTGAGTCAGCAATAGAGAGTGGGCATGATGGCTGCACACCTGTAAGCCCAGCGCTTGGAAGGCTGAAAACAAGAGGATCACTATGAGTCCAATCTATATAGTGAGACCCTGTACACCTTGTCCTAAATTCATTTTAAAAAATCTTAAAAATACAATTCTTGTCACAGAATCTTGCTGCCTGTGACTGAGCTGAGGGCACAAAGGCATATTTTCTTTAGAAGGCACACTAGGCTCCCCTGCCCTGTCCTGACCCAACACCTCCACCCCCGCCTTTCTGTGCTCCCACGGGTGCCCTGGCTGCTTACCCCCACCGACAGCCCGGAGTCCCACGCAGCACAGCCAGTCCCTACACAGGGCCTTTGCGTGTACTTTTCTTCCATCTTGACTATTTTTCCAGCATTCCCATCCCAACCCTTCTTTTCTGTCCATACTCCAATGCATCCTCTCTTCTTGACCTTTTCCTTCCCTGCTACAGAAGAAGGGATCATCTTTATGCCTTTGCAGCCTTCTCAGAGAGCTGAGATTTTCTAGCCATCAGATGAGAAAACTGATGCCCATTCAGGTTAAGTGCAGGGCATGTGGCTACTTTTGCTTAGGGTTGGACCGTAGGCAGCCAGGTTTTGCCGGAGAAATCATTAACAATGGCAGGGTGATATTTGCACAAAGGTGCAGAGGGCCCACTCCAGGTAAGTGCTCAGACCTATCCAAGCTGAATTTATTTCTTAGTGGCACTTCTAGTTCCCCTGTTGTGGGAGCTTCTTGAGAACAGGGATCTTTTCTTTTCTTCTTTTTTTAATGTATTTTGTACACGGTCTCACTATGCAGCTCAGACTCATGGTGATCCTCCTGTTTTCAGCCTCCCCAGAACTGGGATTACAGGCATGCACCACCACTTCCAGACTTGGTTACAGGGTCAGTGTGCCTGGGAGCAGGACTGGCATGGCATGTGGTGCCACGGATTGAACCCTGGTCTCTGCACTTGCCTAAGCAGGCACTTAGTCTGCTGAGCTATCTCGCCAGCCCCAGGATCTTTTCTTAATGTTTACCATTAGCATTGTTTGAGTGTTGAAATATTTTTGGCACTCAATAGGCATTTTTTTGAATGGATATTTCACAAAATAAATAATGTGTACCTAGGAGACAGCTGACTCTCTTCCCCTCTTCTTTCCCATAGTTAAAATTGCCTTGACTCTCCTGTCATATCTAAATCTACTTCTATGTTCTTACCCCCTTGTCTTGGCCCCAGAGCTCCGGATCAAGAGACAGAACTCTTCAGATAGCATCTCAAGCCTCAACAGCATCACCAGCCATTCCAGCATCGGCAGCAGCAAGGATGCTGAAGCCAAAAAGAAGAAGAAAAAGAGTTGGGTGGGTAAAGGTTTGTGGGTCAAAACCATGTAGACCCTTGTGGACAGCTCCACCTCAGTGTAGGGTCAGATCCCCCCAGGATTAACCAAACAGTGGTCCCTTCTAGTCCTAAGACTATTTTCTGTCTGCTCAGGGCAGTTCCCTCCTTGTCACAAGGCTCTTCCTGCAACCTTAAACACCCCTGCTCTCCTGGGACTCTCCATATTTGTGGGGCCAAATATGGCCACAGAAGACAATGGAGAAAATACTCAGAAAGTCATGACTTATCAGCTCCTTCCCCAACTCCTTACTTTCTTCTTTATTATGGGAAAAACATTTTATAGACAAAGCCATTCTTTCTAGATGCTGCTAGAGGTAACTCCTTCAGTTTGGGAGAGGTGTTTATGGAGCTTCAAAAGGACTCCTTACATGGTCTTTGGCTGGGCCATGAGCAGTTTTTTATGCCTCCCCCATAATCCTAAACTGGCCTTGGATGACCTTTCTGAAATTCATGAATGGTCTCAGCAACTCTGGCTGCCTGTAGAAAGCAGAGTGTACCCAGGCGGGAACATCTTGCTGCTCTGTCCCCTAGTTGGGAAGACAGTCCCCACAAATGTGGTGTAATGCAGATAGGAGCCAGCTGTGTGCAATGAGTGATTAAGTGTTGCTTCTTCTTCTTCTTTTTTTTTTTTTTTTCTTCAAAATGCTGACTTCAAATCCCTATTTTTTTCCAGGTCTATGAGGTAAGAGAGCCAGTTCCTCTTCACTTATTTTCTCTTTCCCTTTGCCATACCTTCCCTATTTCCAGAGCAACTCTTTCTTCCTAAAAAAAAAAAAAAAAAGAAAGAAAGAAAGAAAGAAAAGAAAAGAAAAAACACCCACCCATAGCACTAACTGTAACAACCACCTGAGTGTTTCTAACTCCACTGCATGGCGCATCCACAGCTGCCCACAGGAGACAGAGGAGTGGTCTGGTTGTGGGTCGAATGGGAAAGTTAAATAAAATCCAAATCTGTTACCCACTGTCTTTCCTCTTTGCAAAATTGGCCTATTAAAAAAAGCAGTCATGGGGCTGGGGAGATGGCTCAGTAGAATAAGTACTTGCCTGGCAAGCACAAGGGCCTGAGTTCAGTCCCCAGTTAAAAAAAAAAAAAAAAAAAACAGTCATGTTGAGCTCATCCTATCCAGAAAATGAGCCTTTTAACTTTTGTCTCATTAACCCCCAGAGGAAAATGACTGGGTAAAGGTTATCCTGAGCACAATTTCCAGAGACCATTTCAGTTGAGGTCAGTCGGAACATGTAACTGTGAAGTCGGACAACCAGGATGAGGAAAATAGTTCAGTCCAGGACACACTAAAGTCATCCCACACCCTAATACCTTCTAAGCGTCTGTGGCGTTGCCAAAGAATAGTCTAAGACAGACAGAAGGTGTACCCAGAATTTCCATTACAAAAAGAATCTAAGATTCACTTTAACCCCAATGATGTAGTTAGTATCATGAAGTGTAGGAAACATTGAGTCTATTATCTCAATTACTAAGGAGCCCATAGCTTTGCTGGGAAGACAAAAAAAAAAAAGTACATATAAAATAAATAATATTCCAGTAATATAAAATGTTTACTTAAAACACTTAATTGCTGGACTGGTGAGATAGCTCAGCAGACTAAAGCACCTGATTAGGCAAGTGGCAGGGACCATGTTTTGATCCACTGAGCCGGCCAGAGTCCAGGCTTAGTGGCATATGCCTGGAGTCCCACCTCTGGGGAGACTGAAAAACAGGAGGATTACTGAGACTGAGCTGCGTAGTGAGACCCTATAACAATCAAATACATATACAAAATTTAATTTCTAAAGCAATTTACAGATGAGAAAGACTGATTTTGGAGTAGGAAAACATCACAAAGGAGATAAAACATACACCGAGGTTGGGTTGTGATAGACACTGAGGAATGTATGGGACACTTTCTGTATGGGCACTGTCTGCTTGGAAGAGAAGAGTGGCACTAGCTAGGAAAAGGTCAGTGTAGTCAATGCCCAATCTGGGTAGGGTCAAGCACAGATGGGAGGGCCTGCTGGTCATTTAAACCTGATTCTTAAGCATTTCCCAAAGTAGGATCCACAAGTCACTAACCAAATGAAATGCACCTTAAAAAAGTGCTACCATCATCAAATAAATTTGAGAAACACTGCATTTTCTACAGTGCACATCTGCACAGGAAAAGTTTAGGATGCTGCTCCATAAAGAATTCTGTTTTGCATCGCTTAATCTATTATTTCTTGAATTTGTTTAATCATGGGTCTATTAGCCACACAACACCGGCTTCTCCTAATGGCTCTAGTGTGCAGAACACTAAACTACACATAGAGTATGATTTCCACTTAGAATTCTAATGACCTCGGAGAGCTTATGCTTCAAACAACTTGTGATCACAGGATTGCCTTTTGCATACATAGGGACACATGAGGTGGTAGTGTCAAGAAAGCTTCACTGGATTAAAAATTAGGAGGCCCAAATCCCAGTCCCCGGTCTCCTTGAGTTATGCAGTACTGGAGCTCAAGTGACATGACTGGTTAATGCTCAGTACTTATACAGCTATGCAGTACCAAGCAAGTCTTCTCCATCTTGGTTCTTCATCTCTACAAAGAACTAAGCTTTCTGGTTCCTTTGAGCCTGGAGTGCTGAATGATCTTAAGGCCCTGGAGCAGTCACATGCACACGTACTCTCTCCTCATATCCTCACCCAGCCAGATTGGTCCTCCTTTATACCTTGCCCAGTAGAAACCCACACACACCACCTGCTAGTGCCATCTATCCCATAACAGTATCCCATGCTCCATGGGAGATTCTTAGAAAGAATAGCCTCCCATTTCCTCTTTTTCTCTGTCCCAAGGTCTGGCTTTTCTTTGACCCCCACAGCTCCCACCCCTCCTTTGCTCTGTCTCTTGCTACTGTTCCATGTTGTCCCCTGTGTGTGTGTGCATGCTGAATGGATGCATGTGAGGGAGTGTGGGACACACCCTGGTTTGCACTTGCAGCTCACATCCCTAACCCTCGCACTCATCAGCACCAAGATCAAACAAGCTGTGGTCAGGTATAGTGCTTCAAAACATCACTTGTTCTAGGATATTTGAAATAGTAAAAAGTCGGGGCTGGGGAGATGGCTTAGTGGAATAAGCGTTTCCCTGACAAATGCAAGGGCCTGAGTTCAATCCCCAGTTCCACAAAAAAAAAAAAAAAAAAAAGAAAGAAAGAAAGAGTAAAAAGTGCTTCAGGCCAGACGTGGTGGTGCATGCCTGTAATCCCAACACTCGGGAAGCTGAGGCAAGAAGATCGCTGCAGCAGTTCAAGGCCAGCCTAGACTACATAGTGAGACCCTGTCTCAAAAAGACACCCCCCCAAAAAAAATGCTACTGTCTTAATTTTCTTAACCATTCTGTGATGTGATAGGCAGAAGAATACTAAATAGAACTTGGTATCACCACCTTCTCCTGTAGAAAATCGTACTGTCAGTGTTTAGTTGATTTGTCTAGCAATGAATAGATTCTAGGCTGATGAGCCCAAGTCATCCGGAGACCTAATGTGAGCTAGGTTCTTCACTGAGTGGCCATTGGTCTGCTGGAGAAGGTGGGACGGGATTCTTTAGAGGTATACCATGTGACCTCTGGGGACTTCTCTCTGGCCTCATCCCCCACAGAAAAGAAATGATCTAAAAAGTTCCCATAGCCTACAAAGGCAACAAGCCAAAAACATCTTATTTTTTCTCAGCCCTAATTTCCAGGCAACTCTTCTGTCCATATGCTATGAACCACACGAAGCCTCGCATACCAGACTCAATCACAACAAAGACATCCCTGCCTCCATATCACCTTGTCCCGAATCAGTCCTCTCCCGCCCCCAGAGTGGAGCCATGATATCTGTCTGCATCTCCTCTTTCTAGCTTCGAAGTTCCTTCAACAAAGCCTTCAGTATAAAAAAGGGACCCAAGTCTGCTTCCTCGTACTCTGACATTGAGGAGATCGCCACGCCTGACTCCTCAGCCCCCTCCTCCCCTAAACTGCAGCATGGCTCCACGGAGACAGCCTCACCCTCCATCAAGTCCTCCAATTCGTCTTCTGCGGGTGTCGATGTCCCCGAGTAAGTGCTCCCACTACCTGCCACCTGCCTGGCACCAGTGTATTGCTGGCCTCTTCCTGGGCATCTGAGTCCCACAGGAACCTTGGCATTGGGTATCTATGGGCAGGAGGAGCTGAGACTACCCATGATGATGTCACTATTCCTGAGGCCAATGTTTCTCCAGGAGTCTGATGCTTGTTTTCTTTCCTTTCCTTTTTTTTTTTTTTTTTTTCTTTTTTTGGTACTAGGAATCCAGCTCAGGACCTTGTGCTTGCCAGGCAGGCACTGTGCCTCTGAGCTGCATCCACAGCTCTGCCCCTTGTTTTCTTGCAGGGCGCCTGCTCACTCAGCCCCCCACCCGAGGCTCTTCCACACCAATGAGGAGGAGGAGCCAGAGAAGAAGGAGGTATCAGAGCTGCGCTCTGAGCTATGGGAGAAAGAGATGAAGCTTACAGACATCCGCTTGGAGGCTCTCAACTCTGCCCACCAACTGGACCAGCTTCGAGAGACCATGCACAACATGCAGGTCTGCATTGGGCAGAGCCACAGGGAAGGGGAGCCCAAGGCCTGAGATGTGCCCAACCTTGCCTCCCTTCCCTGTCTGTTCTTGCCACAGCTGGAGGTGGACCTGCTGAAAGCAGAAAATGACCGGCTGAAGGTCGCCCCTGGCCCCTCCTCAGGCTGCACTCCAGGGCAGGTCCCTGGATCCTCTGCTCTGTCATCCCCTCGCCGTTCCCTTGGCCTTGCACTTACCCATTCCTTCAGCCCAAGCCTCACAGACACAGGTACCTGTTTTGAGAGAAGGGTGTCTAAGTGTTGGGAAAAGGGTGTCTAAGTGTAGAGAGAAGGAAAGGTTTGTTGCACTGTTCTACAACTCCATTTGTGCTATGGCTTCTTCCTTGGGAGGTAACTGAGCCTGATAACACAGTGCCAGTGTTAAGAGCTGTTGAGGGGCTGGTGAGATGGCTCAGTGGTCTAAAGCACCTACTTAGAACAAGCTTAACAAAGCACAGGGACCGCAGTTCAATCCCCCAGCACCACATGCCAACCAGCCCCGCCCCCTGGTGGGCTGAGCTGGCGCAAAAAGCCCGCACCGAGATAAATAAAAAAATTTTTTTAAAAAAAAAAAAGAGCTGTTGAGACTTATTGGCAGCACTGGGGACTGAACCTTGAGCCTGTACACTGAACTCTATTCCCCAGCCTTTGTTTTTTGTTGTTGTTTTGGTGTTTTTGTTTTTGTTTTATTGAGACAGGATCTTACTGAGCTACCCTGGCTGGACTTAAACTTGCCTCCTGTCTCAGCCTCCAGAGTGCTTAGATTTTAAGCATACAGCACTAACCCAGCTTCATGTGGTTTTTAAACCCTACTATCTCTTCAGTTTAGAGCTCCCATTTACTATTTGTGGAAAATAGTTGGTTGGGAAAGATAATGACTGGAAAGCTGCTATGGGTAGCCTTAAAACAAATTAGTCCTTTTCAATCCCCACAGACCTATCACCCATGGATGGCATCAGCACCTGCGGTCCAAAGGAGGAAGTATCCCTTCGGGTGGTAGTACGGATGCCCCCTCAGCATATTATCAAAGGGGTAAGGAACTTCAGGTTGGGCCAGGATAGAAATCATCATCACACAGATGTTCCCCAACTTGAGGATGCTGCAAAACCAATGTGTGTTCAGCAGAAATTGTGCTCCAGATTTTTCATTCTGATCTTTTCTTGGGCTGGCAACATGCAGTATGAAACTTCCTCAAGATACTGGGCAGTGACAGTGAGCTACAGCTCCGCATCAGCCAATTCCAAGGGTAGACAAACCAATATTCTGCAGGGAACTGTATTGTTGTACCATGTTTGAAGGTTAGGAATGTTAAATGCATTTTTGATTCAGTGATATTTTCAACTCATGATGGGTTTATCTGGATGCAGTACCACTGTAAATTAAGGAGTATGTCTGGTCATATTTATGCTGGATTCTGAATACTTCCCAAACTGGCATCTTCAACTCCAAGGCCTTCTAGAATTTTCTTTCCTTGGAATCATCTGTACTAAGGCTCACATGCTTTTACCTTAACCTTACAGGACTTGAAGCAGCAGGAATTCTTCCTGGGATGTAGCAAGGTCAGTGGAAAAGTTGACTGGAAGATGTTGGATGAAGCTGTTTTCCAAGTATTCAAGGTAAAGGGATACATGAACTCACTTATCATGGAATATTTGAGCTCTCCATGCAGTGAGAACTGGGGACCTGGTTGCTCTATTCAGAAAAGCAAAATAGGAAAAACATACACCCTTTCTCTTTCCTCACCTACATTTGTTTCCTCTGATGTTTGTTGATTTTTTTTTTTTTTTTTTTGGTGGTACCGGGGATTGAACTCAGGCCCTTGTGCTTGCCAGGGAAGCACTTATTCTACTGAACCATCTTCCTGGCCCCTATTTGTTGATTCTTGTGGATTTTCCACCTGTGTTTGGATCTTTACAATGTTTCTTACCTTGTTGTTTACTCTACCCCTTTATCAGGACTATATTTCCAAAATGGATCCAGCCTCCACGCTGGGCCTAAGCACTGAGTCCATCCATGGCTACAGCCTCAGCCATGTGAAACGAGTGTTGGATGCTGAGCCCCCAGAGATCCCTCCCTGTCGTCGAGGTGTCAATAACATATCAGTCTCCCTCAAAGGTCAGTGTTACTTCCTGTGTTGCTGGGACAAAATATCTAATATCTGCAACTTAAGGACAGAGAGGTTTATTTTGACTCATGTTTCAGTTTGTGGAGTCACTGGCTCCCAGGAAGGATGGCATGTAGGCATGCATGGCAGAGGAAAAGCACCTTCATGGTTTGGCAGCCAGAAAGCAGAGAATTAAGGGAGGATCCAGGAAGGGAGATATAAACTTTCAGGAGAGCCCAGATATTCCAGGTCTTCTGACCAGGCTCTATATTCTAACAGCAAGTCAGTTATAATGCCCCATACAGGAAAAGCAGCTCCCTATGACACTTGAGGCTTTAGGGTTACATCTAGACATGAGCCATAACATTTCCCCTTTGGCCACAAAAAAAGATTCACGTGAATCTCTTTATGCAAATGCATTTAGTTCCTCTCCTTACAGGTCCAACATTGCTGAAAAGTCCACGTCCAGAGTCTCCTCTGATACTTACAAGTTTACAAGGCAAACTCTTAGTAAAAATTAAAGGAAAGTTAAGTCAACAGCATGGAGTGAACATTCTCATTTGAAAAGGGGAGAACAGGAGGACAGAAAGAAATTAGATGAAGCCAAGACAGAAACCTAGTAGGGCAAACATTAAATCCTATAATTCCATGTTTAAGATAGAGGGCAAGCTGTGGTGACTTGCAGTCTCTGAAGGGCATTGCCAGTAGTTGTAGCTCTCATGGCTTCTCTCTCAGGCTGGCTTTGCTCATTCCTTTCAGCTTTCCTCAGCTATTTCATATTCTTGGCTTCTCAAATTATAGCTTTATGCACTGCCCTCTTCTGGGCACATGGCCTAGCCTCCAAGGCCTTCTTCTGAAATCTGTGTGTAAAGCTCCCCGATTATGTTCTGCTTGCCTGTAAAACCCATACCACACAGATGACACCAAGGTGTGCTGCCAGCTCAAGTAGTAGCCAGGCTTCCTTGTGTTACCACTGTAGAAGTCTCTGAGAGCCTGGATGGCTAAGAACTATGAGCTTCAATCCTGGGGGATAAATCCTCCAGGTGGTCCTTCTCCAGCAAGGTGCCCTGAAGTTCTCTTCTCAAAGCAAATTCTTTCACTTTTCAATTTTGAGCCTGCAAAGGGTCGAGCTTTGCACAGCTCACATGCCCTTAAGCTATTTTTCCATTATCTCAATTGTGGAGTGTTTCACTTCATTTAAATGCTAATCTTTTTAACAACAAATCTCTCTTTTTTGGGGGGTGGGAGTGTTACTGGAGATCAAATTCAAGACCTTGGGCTTGCCAGGCAGAGGCTTATGCTGCTGAGCTATCTCCCTGACCCAACAAATCTCTCTTTTACAACATTTTTGCAGCCA